AAGCCAAAGCAGTACAGCACCACTGGTGTTGGTGTCATGAGAGAGCTACAACTAGAGGAGGAGGATCTGATCCAGAGTAGGAGTCAGGACGCTCTGGAGGAGACGGGCCTGGAGCTGAGTTTGGGAGTATCTGCTTTAATGGAGAGATGAGAATGTTTTGTCATTAATGCATTGTTGTACTGCAATATGAGTTAGCATTTCTAACCTGGAAGCAATGCCTTTTCTTCAGGGTGTTTATTGGATGGGGGAGAAGTGGTTGAGAAGAGACTAGGGTATTCCAGGCAGAGGGAACAGCATGTCTGAATGCACAGACAGAAAACTACAAGAATTATAAGATGTTCCCTGTGATAGGTGGGAAAGATGCATGAAAGGGAGATAGAAGTAGGATGGAAAATGAGGTGAGCGGAGTATGAACTAGCTCACACACTGAGCTAAGGAGTTTGAACTTGGTTTTGAATGCAGTTTCAGAAAGTTCACTTGGGTGGCAGTGTAGAGCACGGACTGGACGAAGGAGGTGCCAAGGGTGACTAGAGCTGTGCTGACCAATACAGTAGCCACGAGAAGCTACATACATTTAAAATGAAATAGAACTGCCCTGGCTGGTGTAGCTCAGTGTACTGAGCACGGGCCTGCAAACCAGAGTATCACAGTTCAATTCCCAGTCAGGGCACATGCCTGGGGTTGCAGGCCAGTTCCCAGCAGGGGGTGCATAAGAGGCAACAGTACATTGATAAAAAATATAAATAAATAAAATGAAATGAAATAGAATTTTTAATTCAGTATCTCAGTTGCACTTGCCACATTTCAAATATTCAACAACCACATGTAGCATGGACATAGAACATTTCCACCATTACAGGAAGTTACATTGGACAACACTGGCCTGGAGGCAATGAAACCAGGTGGGAGGTTCCTGCAAAAGCCCAGGTGGGAAGTGAGAATCTGAGAAGCTGAGTCTTTTCTAGGCAGTGCCACAGTAATGGAGAGAAGGGGGAGGACTCGAGAAGTATGTGGGAGGTAGGATCTTGAGTTTGGTGAGAGGTCACTGAGAGAAGCAATCTTGGAGGATTTCCAGGTTTCTGGCTGGGATCATGACCCAGAGGGAAGGTATCTGAGCAAGGAAGCGACCTGAACCATTTGGTCCTATTGAGTATGCAGTGGTAGGAGGCCTGTGGGGGCGACTACTTTTGAGAGGTCCCCCCGGTGCCACGGGCACACATGAGTGAATAAATATGGCTGAGAAGCGATGAGATCTGTTTGGGGATGGAGGCGTGGGCTGCGGCCAGTTTCTCTGGGGAGAAAGAGGCTAGCAGCGGCCAGTCTCTCCAAGGAGAAAAAGGCCCAGAGCGCCCTCTTCCATAGCCTTTTATTGGGTTGTAATACACAGGAATACAGGGCGGCAAGGATCAAATAGTAGATAACATTACAAAGAGGTCTGAGGGTTTCAGTCTGAGTGAGTGTCTGTCAGGAAGAGAGTTGCAGAAACTTTGGGAGACATACTCATTTCCTCTTGGACCCTTATCATATGAATGAAAGCACTCTTAGCAGAGCAGATTTCACAGGTTTATCAGCAAGTCTTTGTGGTGCCAGATTTTTCCCCAGGACATGCTCTAACAAGGCAAGGAGCTGCACCTCTCCCCAACAGGTATTCAGGCTTAAGGGGATTAGAGCCAGGAAGCACTTCTCCCAGAGTACATGGGGACTCAGGCTTTGACAAAGCCAGGGGGCGAGAGTCCATTGCTCTCTGTTGCAGCCCCCGAGTCCTTCCATGAAGGCCTCCCAGGTGATCGAGTCTGGCTTAGGTTGCCCCCCGCTGTGAGGGGTCTTACCTGTCTTTGATTTCCGACCAAGCTCTGGGGGCAGGGAGAGGAACTGAGGCAGCGTTTGCTACCAGAGACAAGCTTTGTCTCCTGTGGCTGGCATTCCAGAGATCGTCTCTCGCCCTTAGCTACCAGGGGTAGAGATACAATTCCTAAAACTAGACAGAGCGGTCTACAACAGAGGCCTCTGGGTGGACAGGTGCAATAGTGATTGGAAGTCCAGGACTGAAGTTCCAGATCCTTATCTAGTAGATTGAGAGACTCCCAGCTCTAATTATTCACCTGTGCTTCCCACAGCACCTGTGTCCACCAAACGTCCTTCCTCTCTGCCAGGTCTGAGCACAGATATGAATGGGTCTCTGCCTCTGTCCTCAAGGGGCCCTCAGACTGGATTAGAGTTTGGGAAGCCAAGAACTAGAGCTCTTTTGGCCAGAGCTGTGGCAGAGGTGAGAATGGAATGATGAGGAGCACAGAGGAGGACATAGCCCACGAGGAGCAGGAAAGGGCTGCCAGTTGCTGCGTTCTGACCACCTCAGACTCCCTTCACTTGGGTCTCCTGGGACTCCCTTCACTTGGCTTTGTGAGATGGGGAGTTCCTCCTTTCTCCCCCAGGGGGAGGAGAGAACTGCTATGGGACTCCTCACCAAGCAACAGCCCTTCGCCTTAAAGCTCCCTTTCATACATGTGCACCCATACACACCGTCGTGGAGGCTCACAGATAGCTGGCATTTGTCATGCCTACTCTCTCTCTCTCTTCTTTATGCAGCTACACAGATAGATCCACATTTTTAATAGAACTCTTTAAAACTATGTTGCAGAAATTATGGCACTTTATCTTCCAATACCATAGCATTAATCTCCTAACAAGATCTCCTAAAATATTCCCCCACAGGACCACAATACTAGGTTTGCACTGAAGATCATTAATTCCATCATATATCATCTCCAGTCCTTGTCCACGTGTCTTCAGTAGTCCCCAAAATGTCTTTTAAATTTTTTATTTATTTTTAGAGAGAGAGGAAGGGAAGAAGAAAGAGAGGGAGAGAAATGTCACATGCTCCCAACCAAGGATCTGGACCAAAACCCAGGCACGTGCCCTGACTGGGAATCAAACCAGCAACCTCTTGGTTCACAAGCCCATGCTCTATTCACTGAGCCACACCAGCTATGGCAATTTAAAAATATTTTTAAATTCAGGGTCCAGCCCTGGCTGGTGTAGCTCAGTAGATTGAGCAAGCGCGGGCCTGCAAACCAAACAATCGAGGTTCGATTCCCAGTCAGAGCACATGCCTAGACTGCAGGCCAGTTCCCAGCAGGGGACACACAAGAAGCAACCATACATTGATATTTCTCTCCCTCTCTCCTTCCCTTCCCCTCTAAAGATACATAAATAAAATCTTTAAAAGAAAAAATAAAATAAACAAATTCAGGGTCCAATCGAGGTTCACGTATTCCATTTGATTATGTCTCTTTAGTCTCTTTGCTTAGAAAGTGTCCTTGTCTTTTTTTTTTTTAATGACATTGACCATTTTGAAGAGTGTGAGCCAGTTGCCATGAGGCACAGCTCAAAGCATGGGTTTTCTTCATTAACTTTTACCTTCTCTTACCAACAAGGAGGAGGGGGAGGGTATCTCTTTAGAATGCAGAATCCTCGTCATTATCATTAGGTGTAATTATCATTAGGTGTAATTCACAGGTGGCTGGAACACTCCTATTCCTGACCTGTGTTTGAGGGCTGTTGGAAGGGTATTGCAGAGCACCCTTCTGAAGAGGAGTAGTGAGCCTCCTGACCAGACTGGATGGAGTGCCCAGACAGGGTCCTTCACCACGGGCACAGCGGTGAGAAGGCTGGGCTAGCTAGTCCAGAGGCCTCTCACTCCCAGCACCCTGCCCTGCCCTTGAGAGAAATAATCTCCCTACACCCTGAAAGGAGCTGGATGTTCCTCCCCAGGAACACAGCACCCGTCTCTGTAGAGCTGCCCCTGGGCCTGGGTAGTATCTGGAATCATAGGATCATGGCTCAGGACCAAGGGCTGATCCTTTTCACTTCATTCAGTGACTGCTATCAGGTGACTGGGATAGCTGGGTCAACAGAGGTGTTTATAAAAGGCACTTTCACCTAATATGGAGCCAGAGCTCTGTATTAGCCTCCACACCCTGCTGATCTCAAGCATCTGCCTCTACAGGTACCTTTCTTGGGCCCATTTCCCAGTCTCCAGGAGCCCCTACCATATAGCTTGGGAACAGTGGAGATGGAGGATGAAGGGGGGTGGTTCTCAGTTATGTGTAGGAGGCTTGAGTTCTAGTCCTTGCTGTCTAGCTCCAGACCTCGTTTCTCCATTTTTTAAATGAGCAGCTTGGACTGGGCCATCTCTAAGGACACTTAATGTAATTAAAATGAAAAGATGGGGAGGGTTCCCCCCCCCCCACCGGCTGCAGCCCAACAACTTCAGCCTCCAAGATTCAAGTGTGGGGCTGTCTTCGGAGGAGGTGATCTTGATCTTTATAAAGACTACTCTGAGGTAAGGGAATCACACGCTGTTTGCATTAACCCTGGACTAGTCCAGAGGCCTCTCACTTCCAGCAACCTTCCTTGTCCTTAAGAGAAATAACCTCCCTCCATCTGAGACCTTAAAAGGAGCTGGATGTTCCTCCCCATGAACACAGCACCTGTCCCTGAAGAGCTGCCCCTGAGCCTAGGTAGTAAGTGGAGGAATTGGCCCCTCAGCCCTTCAGCGTTTCTGGGTAGGAGCAACTCTCTACTCCCCAGAAAGAGGTGGTATCGGCAGGAAGCCAGCACTGGTGGGAGCTCTTTGACACAATGCTCAGCATACACTCTGCACTGGGGGCTCACAAGGGGGTGCTTCCCCATTTTGAAGTAGTCACTTGCCTCCACTCCAACCTCAGAATTGGAAACTGAGGTGAAGTGGGGGGAGGGGAAGACCATAGCTGGGAGTTCAGGCACTAAAGTTGGGAATCACAAGGCTCCTTTGCAGCCCTCAGACTCTGTGATGCACCAAGGGTAAGCTCCTGGCGCACAGGACCCATGGTTCATGTAACTTGGTCTTTCCGGTATGCAGTTGGGAGTCAAGCACAGAAGTTATTGACTGAGTGAGTGAATGAACGAATGAATGGCTCCATCTTAATCCTATTTGGTTCTTCTTTCTTCTTCCCCTGCAGTTGACACAGATGTCATTGTCCTGGCCCAGTTCCTTCTTGGTGACCGAGGTTCTCCTGGCCTCTTCCATCTTCTGCCTATTATTCTGGGTGGTCAAGGCCTGGCAGCCTCAGGTCCCCAAAGGCCTAAAGAGTCCACCAGGGCCCTGGGGCTGGCCCCTACTTGGACACATACTGACCTTGACCACACCTGATGCTGTCACGGCTGAGCCAGCATTATGGGGACGTGCTGGAGATCCACATTGGCTACACACCTGTGCTGGTGTTCAGTGGCCTTGACACCATCCAGCAGGCCCTGGTGCGACAGGGCGATGATTTCAAGGGCCGGCCTGACCTCTACAGCTTCACCTTCATCAGTAATGGCCAGAGCATGACCTTTAACCCAGACTCTGGACCAGTGTGGGCTGCCCGCAGACGCCTGGCCCAGAATGCCCTGAAGAGTTTCTCCATTGCCTCAGACCCAGCTTCCTCATCTTCATGCTACCTGGAGGAACATGTGAGCAAGGAGGCCGAGATCCTCATTAGCAAGTTCCAGGAGCTGATGGCAGGGGCTGGATGCTTCTATCCATATAACCAGGTGGTGGTGTCAGTGGCCAAAGTCATTGGTGCCATGTGCTTTGGTCAGCACTTCCTCCACAGCAGTGAGGAAATGCTCAGCCTTGTAAAAAATAGCCATGACTTTGTGGAGACTGCCTCCTCTGGGAACCCCGTGGACCTTTTCACCATCCTTAGATACCTGCCCAACCCCACCTTGCAGAGGTTCAAGGCCTTCGACCAGAGGTTTGTGCACTCCCTGAAGGAAATGATCCATGAACGCTATCAGAACTTTCACAAGGTGAGCCCAGCATGCAGGGAGTGAGGTGGCACCCTGCTGAGCCTAGGTCTGGCCCCTCTTGCCCAGCTCCAAGGTACAGCTGACATGCTTCCAAGGCTGAGGAAGGCTCTGGGACACCTGAGACCAGCTGTGTGTGACCTGAAATCAATCCTTCTACCCCCTGGGCTCAGTTTCCTCATCCCTATAGCCTCCTTCTCAAAGGAGCTGCTTAAAGCCACAGAGAACCTTGTAATGCGGGGGCTATTACTATGAATGAGAAAACTTTTGTTCCCAGGAACCTGACCCCTAACAGAGACTAATTCTCAGCTTAGGTGTCACTTTGCTTCCCTATACTGGCACTGACCTCCACCTTTGAAATTGGACCCCTGGGGTTATTGGGAGGAAGAATTAATGGGGCATGAAATGACACTTTAAGCCCTACCTAGAGCAGATGGCAGCTCCTGCTATGAGCCTCACCCCTGCTGAGTGGAGGCCTGGGCAGGAGTGCCAAACAGGATGGGGCAAGGTCCAGCCTTTGGCCTTGGGAGTGCCGGAGTGCCTCTAAACTTGTCACCCCTCAGAACAGTGTCCAGGATATCACAGGTGCCCTGTTCAAGCACTGTGAGAAGGACTCCAGAGGCAGCAGTGGCCTCATCCCCCCGGAGAAGATTGTCAATCTTATCCACGACATTTTGGGGGCCAGTAGGAGCCAAGTCCCTGCCCCTCCATCCATCAGTACCTGCTGTTCATACACAGTACCACCCAGCCCCCAAGTCCTTCCAATAACTCTGGAACCACATGCCAGATGGTGCAGGACACAGAGCCCTGGCCAGGCTCGGTGTTTGAGCTCAGGTTGTGCCACCAACCACTAGGGAAATTCAGCCAAGTCCTTCTCCTCCTCTGGGCCTCAGTTTCCCCATTTGAATAGTAAAGGGATCTCTGGCTTTGAAGTCTCAGCCCCTGTAATTCTAGCAGCTAATTATGAAACCAGTGACTCAAGGTTAGGGATGGGGAGTCAGAGGAGGGAGGCAGAGAAAGACAATTTTTGGTACATACATGGTGGGTGCTTGGTAAATGTTGGTTTCTTGTTCCTGTCTTACTTTCTTCCTCACTTTTCCCCATGCTGCCCAGGATTTGACACAGTCACAACAGCTATCTTCTGGAGTCTCATGCACCTTGTGACAAACCCTAAGGTACAGATGAAGATCCAGAAAGAACTGGGTATGCAGAGAGAAGCTTTGGGGTCTCAGGTTATTTGTTCAATCTACATAGCTGTTACTTACCTACTATGTGCAAGCTCTGGTCATACAATGATGTCCGCTCTTGTCTAGAAGATGCTGGTGAGGGTTGGTGGGTCTCAGACATGTAAACAGACATAGAGTGACACCACATAAACTGACACTTGGTATCACAGGAGACACAGATACCATGGAACAGTCAAGGCAGCCCCTAAGCCCTGTCTGTCCTCTGTGGCCTACAGACACAGTGATTGGGAGGGCAAAGCGGCCCTGGATCTCCGACAGACCCCCACCACCCTATATGGAGGCCTTCATCCTGGAGACCTTCCGACACTAGTCCTTCGTCCCCTTCACTGTCCGCCACAGGCCTGCCTATTCTGCCCTTCCATCTCCCATCCTCATTATATTTTCTTCCCCCAGTTTCTCAGCTCTGGGCCCTGGCTGAGACCTCAGCATCTCCTTCCTGACCCTGACACCAGGTCCCTCACAGGTCCTCAGCCTCTAGTCTGCCCCTATTCAGTCCACACATGATCAAACTACCCAGCTCTCAGGAGAAAATCACGTTCTTGACCTCAGCTCTCATTCATCTCTGCTCACATTCTCTCCCTGTGAGTATCTCAACATTTCCAGACTGCCCTCCCTGTCCCTCAAAGGCCTATTCCAGCTGGCCTCCAATTTTGCTTATGCTGGACCATCTACTTGCAACGTCTTCTAATCTCTTCTCTGGCTATCAGAGTCCTATCTCTGACCAAGGTCAATGCTCACACAAACTTCCCCTCTCCAAGAAAATTCCTTGACTCATCCAGCTGGCACAGCTTCATTTCTGATATCTTGTGGATTGGAGAACATACAGCCATTTGTCCTTGATTATGTCCTGGGATTTTTTTGGGGGGGAGGGGAAGAGTGGCATTTATTTTTTTAATATATTTTATTGATTATGCCATTACAGTTGTTCTATTTCCCCACTTCATTCCCCTCCACCCTGTACACCCTCCCCCACCATTCCCCCCATTTAGTTTATGACCACGTGTCTCAAGTTCTTTAGATTCTATGTTTCCCCTACTATTCTTGCCCTCCCCCTATCTATTTTCTACCTACCATCTATGCTACTTATTTTCTGTACCTTCTCCCCCCTTCTCCTTCTCCCACTCCCCTTTTGCTAACCCTCCATGTGATCTTCATTTCTATGGTTCCGCTCCTGATCTAGCTGTCCTCTTAGTTTGCTTTTGTTTTAGGTGCAGTTCTTAATAACTGTGAGTTTGCTGTTCTTTCACTGTTTATCTTTTTTATCTTCTTTTCTTAGATAAGTCCCTTTAACATTTCATATAATAAGGGCTTGGTGATGATGAACTCCTTTAACTTAACCTTATCTGAGAAGCACTTTATCTGTCCTTCCATTCTAAATGAAAGCTTTGCTGGATAGAGCCCAGTACCACCCACACACAGTACCACCCAGCCCCCAAGTCCTTCCAATAACTCTGGAACCACATGCCATATGGTGCAGGACACAGAGCCCCGGCCAGGCTCAGTGTTTGAGGTCAGGTTGTGCCACCAACTACTAGGGAAATTCAGCCAAGTCCTTCTCCTCCTCTGGGCCTCAGTTTCCCCATTTGAATAGTAAAGGGATCTCTGGCTTTGAAGTCTCAGCCCCTGTAATTCTAGCAGCTAATTATGAAACCAGTGACTCAAGGTTAGGGATGGGGAGTCAGAGGAGGGAGGCAGAGAAAGACAATTCTTGGTACATACATGGTGGGTGCGTGGTAAATGTAGGTACTTGCATTTCATGATTTGGAATACTTCTTTCCAGCCCCTTCTTGCCTGTAAGGTCTCTTTTGAGAAATCAGCTGACAGTCTGATGGGAACTCCTTTGTAGGTGACTGTCCCCTTAGCTCTTGCTGCTTCTAGGATTCTCTCCTTCATTTTAATCTTGGCTAATATAATGATGATGTGCCTTGGTATGTTCCTTCTTGGGTCCAACTTCTTTGGGACTCTGAGCTTCCTGGGTTTCCTGGAAGTCTATTTCCTTTGCCAGATCGGGGAAGTTCTCCTTTATTATTTATTCAAATAAATTTTTCACTTGTTGCTGTTCCTCTTCCCCTTCTGGTACCTTTATAATTCGGATGTTGGAACATTTCAAGATGTCCTGGAAGTTCTTAAGCCTCTCCTCATTTTTTTGAATTCTTCTTTCTTCATCCTTTTCTGTTTGGTCATTTTTCCTTCCTTCTGGTCCACTCCCTTGATTCGAGTCCCAGTTTCCTTTCCATTACTATTGGTTTCCTGTGCATTTTCCTTCATTTCAATTAGTTTAGCTTTCATATGTTCCTCTAATTTGCAACTAAAATCAACCAGTTCTGTGAGCATCCTGATCACCAGTGTTTTGAACTGTGCATCTGAAAGTTTGGCTATTTCTTGGTCGCTTAGATTTATCGGCTCTGGGGCTCTGAGTTGTTCTTGAGCTGTTTTGATCTGTTTGTGCCTGTTACGTATGAGGAGTGGAGCCTTAGATGTTCACCAGGGCGAAGCTACCCTGGTCGCTAGTTTGTGACGCTGTATGTGGGGGCGGGGTCAGAGAGGGACAATAGCAGTCCCCTCTGCCACTTCCCGCTGCTGGGGCCTACATGGTCTGTCTCCCTGCTCGTTCCTTTACCGGTTTATCTGTGACCGCGGTCAGCCCTCAGTGGGTCCACCCACTACTCCACACCTGGGATCCGCCCACGGCTGCCAGAGGGCCTGAGTTGCACACTTGGGTTGGTTTGGTGGATCTTTCCTGCCCAACCCCGCTCTGCTGCTGGCTCTGCCCCTCTTACTGGTTTGGCTGAAGGGTTTGTTGTTGTTGGACTTCCTTATAGTTCAATTTTCTGTTGTTTGGCTGCATTTTTGTTGCTAAAACTTTGTTGTTTTTAAACTTGATTGTGCGAGAAGGTACAGTGCTTCCACCTATGCCTCCATCTTGGCAGAAGTCCCTTTTTTAAAGATTTTATTTATTTATCTTTAGAGAGGAAGAGAAGGAGAGAAGGAGAGAAATATCAGTAAATGGTTGCCTCTTGTGGGTCCCCTGCTGGGAACTGGCCTGCAACCCAGGCATGTGCCCTGACTAGGAATTGAACCACAATCCTTTGGTTTCCAGGCCCGCGCTCAATCCACTGAGCTACACCAGCCAGGGCACAAGCAGCTTTTATACCTTTAAAACAGACAAAGAATTATTTGTAAACACTTGACAATACAAAGGAGTTTGGGCTTTGGGTAGCAAATTAATAAAGAAGTAAGAAAGTTTGCTTATACAGCCTTCTGAGCCTTGAATTCCCCATCTCTGGTGATAAGGATGCCTCCTACCCTCCTGATACAGGGAGGGTATCTTCACAAAGGAGATTTATTTCCTGCTTTCAGGGGGAAGAAGGAGGGGCGGAAACTCCTTTTTATATGGACTGTTTATTAAATAACTGTAATTCAAAATAATCAATATGTCAAATGGAATATTTTAGGGTGATTTATTTTGCTCCCCAACATTCACATACCATGTAATTCACCCCTTTAAAATGTACAATCCATGGCTTTTAGTATATTCAGAGTTCTTCAACCATACCACAATCAATTTTAGAGACGTCTTATGATCCAGAGAAAAAAATACCATGCTGCCTTGGCCAGGTGGCTCAGGTGGTTGGAGTGTCATCCCTATACCCCGCAGAACGGTGTGCATTTGATCCCCGCACAGGGCACACATAACTAAGTTGCAGGTTCGATCCCTGGTCAGGGTGTGTATAGGAGACAACCAATTGATGTTTCTCTCACATCTCTCTCTCTGTCTCCCCCTTTCTCTCTCTTTAATCAGTAAACATATTCTTGGGTAAGGATTTTTTTTTAATTTTATTTATTTACCTTTAGAGGGGAAGAGAAGGGAAGGAGACAGTGAGACAAATATCAATGTATGGTTGCCCTTCATGCGTTCCCTGATGGAAACTTACCTGCAACCCAGGCATGTGCCCTGACTGAGAATTGGACCTTGGTTGTTTGGTTTGCAGGCCCGTGCTCAACCCACTGAGCTACACCAGCCAGGGCAGATTTTTTAAAAATACCCATTAACGGTCACTTCCCATCCCCCTTAACTCACCTTCCCTGCCCCACCAGCCCCAGGAAATTACTAGGTTTTTTTTTTCTGTCTCTATAGATTTGGCTACTGTGAACAATTCATATAGATGTAATTATACAGTAAGTGATCTTTTGTGACTGGCTTCTTCGCTTAGCCTGGTTTCAAGGTTCATCCATGATGTAGCACATGTGGTTCCTTGAGTCCTGAGACTGGGCCTATGTTTGTTTCCTTGGTCATGACGGGTGTATCTTTCACTGGTTTCTCTTCTCTTCTTTTCTTTTGTATGATTCTAGTCTTTGAACACTTAAAGGGAGTAGGGAGGTAGGGATCCAGTTTTGTGGGCCAAACCCAGATGGGTGAATGGGGATCCCTGGTGTCCTATCATCAAAAGGTAGAATATTTGACTTCTCACAAGGCCTTGATTTGTTCATACACAGGTGGGAGAGGATTAACTTCCCAGAAGTGCTTAGGTTACCTGCAGAAGCCCCAGATCTCATCAAAAGATACTATTAAAAGAATGAAAAAATAAGTCACAGAATGGGAGAAAATATTTGCAATTAAAATATTTAATAAGAGCACTTCCGGCCAAGATGGAGGCGTAGGTAGATACACTGTGCCTCCTCGCAACCAAAAGAAGGACAACAAAAATTTTAAAGCAAAAAACAGCCAGAAATGACAGAAAATTGAACTGTATGGAAGTCTGACAACCAAGGAGTTAAAGAAGACACATTCATCCAGACTGGTAGGAGGGGTGGAGATGGGCAGCTGGGGCAGAGAGGGCTCGTGGCAAGGCAGTGGCTGGTGGACCGAGTGGTCCCACATTCGAGTGCAGATAAACTGGAAGAAACAACTGGGGAACAGGACAGACTGCGCAACCCAGGGCCCCAGCTTGAGGAAATAAAGCCTCAAACCACTGATTGAAAACACCTGTGGGGGTTGACGTGCCAGGAGAGACTCCCAACCTCACAGGAGAGTTCGTTGGAGAGACCCACAGGATCCTAGAATGTACACAAACCCACCCACATGGGAATCAGCACCAGAAGGGGCCAATTCACTTGTGGGAAGCAGGGGAAGAAACTGAAATCTACAGAGAGCCGAGCAACCACCACTGTTCCCTCTTGGACCCCTTCCCCACATACAGTATCACAAGGCAACACAGCAACGTGGGTTGCCCTGCCCAGGTAAACACCTAAGGCTCCACCCCTCGCTATGTAACAGGCACGTCAAGACCAAAAAAAAAAAAAATGGCCCAAACAGAAGAACAGATCACAGCTCCAGAGCAAATACAGCTAAGCAATGAAGAGATAGCCAACCTATCAGATGCCCAGTTCAAAACACTGGTAATCAGGATGCTCACA